CATCAAGAGCCAACAGGCATAGAACTCCTGGATCTTCCTGAAGCTTAATCCCTTCTTAGTTTCTGCTGTTGAATTTACCTACTTAAATGACTGTTCCTACATATGTCTTTTTACTTCTTCTGGCCCTGGTCTTGCCATTCACTTACTTCCAGGGCACGTCATCTCTGGTGTTCATCTCTGACACTGAAATGGGTTTTTATAGACATCTCAGCAGTAGCAGCACTGTCTCCCTCAGCCCTCAAGCCAAGGTTCATTATCTTCTTCCTAAAGAGACTGTCCTTCATCTTTATCATATTTCCAGCTGTTAAAACTTGGGGGAAGTGAGTCGTTTTAATTTAGGTCTGTACACACTGGTCGGCACCTTATGCTCAATTAGTTGAGCTTATACCTATATGTTTATGTGCAGAATAAATTTTGATTTAGTAATTTAAAAACAAATCGGTTTTTAAAAATATGAATACATGAATCTTCAAGGAAAATATGGAATATGATGCTGTAGGGAGAAACAGATTGATATGACTAGTATATTTTTTATATATGCATAAATAAATATTAAAATGATTGTGGCCTCTGTTTGTTAGACAATGCTTCAGTGTATATAGTCCTGTAGCCATGCATATAGGCAGCACAAATTAGTCCCAATGCATAATTTGAAAAAAAAAAGACATGAAATTAGGAAAGAGATTAGAAAGATGAGACTTGTATTGAGGAGAAATTTCATAAAGGAGACTGGATAATATAATTAATATACATTATATGCATGTGTGAAATTTCAAATTATTAATGAAATTATTATATTAAAAATTAAACTTCACATGATGGAATTTATTTAACTCTTTAAAAACTATGCAAAGAAATTCTCAAATGGTATCATTATTATTTTCTACTCTTTATTTTTATCTTCAGGCTCTATTTACTGAATATTTACTAGATCTATGTACTATCATTCTCATAAAACATTTAAAATATATTTTTATATAAAGATTTTATGGCAACTATTGTTTCTCTTATTTCAAATGCAAAATTTGAAAATTTGGGCACTAAATTGAGTGTTTCAAGGTCATAAATGTACACACATTATAAAGACAAAATGAGACATTCTTTCTTAAAATATTCAAAATATATTTTTTATCATTCAAGAATTTGTTTACCATAGAGTGTGAATAACAGACAATCATAAAGGAAAGTTGGCATAGCTCATGACTCAGTTTCTTCACTGTCAAATTAAGGATAACACTGATTTTAAATGAAGTGCAAAGACTTTAAGGGAAACATGGCTTCCAGGTGCAAAATACGATTAGCATGACAAGAAGAATAACAAATTGATCAAGCTGCTGGTTAGACACCCAGAGTTCTCACAAAACATTATCTAGTAGCACTAAATGCCAATCAATAAGGATTAAATGTATTGAATTTTCCTTGGAGAAACGTGAGTTTTTAAAATGAAAAGGGGAAGAGTCTTGGATTAATGGCTACTAAAGCTTTTTCAGATGCAATAGTGAAGAAATCAGACATTTTATAACTTTTAGAAGTACAAGCATAGAGCCAAGAATAATGGAATTATAAAGTATAAACAAGTCTAAAAGGAACTATGTGAAGAAATGCTATTATTTTGAAACTAAAATGTCAATGTAGCCAGAATACTAGGAAGACAACCATTATTGAAGTTGTTTTATAGAATTCAGGTTTTATATGAAGGATTTTCAAAAAGGTAATTAAAGAACATAATTCCATGGAGAAAAAATTCCTATCGATATGTCTAGATAGAATAGTATACAAGAGAGATATTTTATGTCTGTGTAACGTATATTTAAAAATAAAATTTTAATGACTTGTATATACTTGGTGTGATGGTATGAATGAAAATTGATTACGCTAGTCTCAGGCATTTGGACTTATGAATTCCAGTTAATGGTGCTTTGGGGGAAGTTATAATACTTTTAGGAGGTGGATCCCTGTTGGAGGTTGTGTATCACTGGAGGTTTGCTCTATGAGTTCAGAGAATCTTCCCACTCTCAGTTTGATTTCTCTGTTTCCTGCCCCGTAGTAAAAGATATGACCTCTCAGATTCTTTTTTCAGCCACCTGCTGCCATGTCTCCCCTGCACTATGGGCTCTTCCTCTGCTGCCATAATCTCAAATAAACTCTTAATGTCATATATCATTTTTGTGGTGCTCTTCATCGAGGAACTGGTAGCCCAACTTGGTATGTTATGTATTTAGAGAACAATTCTATAAGCTCTGTAACTGTAGAACATTTTTCTCAAACTTCTTAATGCTGTGACTACAACCATAAAATAATTTTTGCTACTACTTCATAACAGTAATATTTTACTGTTATGAATTATAATGTAAATCTCAATGTTTTCTGGTGATCTTAGGCAACTCTTGTTAAAGTGTCTTTCAGTCCCCAAAGGGTTGTGACCTCTAGGCTAAGAAACACTGCTCTAGAAAATCATGACTAATATACTAATCAATACATTTATATATTTATATATATATAAGTCTATAATAAAAAGGGAGCTCCGATATTTATAATACAGACCCATTACTATTGGTATTACCTAGTGTTTAATCAAACTCAAAATACTATGCCCAAATTGGACCAAAAAATAAACAGGATTATGTAAGTTGGTAAGAATAGCTGAATTATATCAATGAATCTGGTAGTTATATTTATTGCACATTCCTTAATTACGAAATTTCTGTTTTATCAAGTGTCTGGAGGATTCTTTAAGATAGCCTAGTAAGCATTTATCTTATATTGATTAATAAAGATAACATAGGTGCAGTATGGTAGACCTATGTAGGTACTTTCTGATACTGTTTTGTCAGGGTTCTTGGCTGCACTGCTATGATGCTAACTCTGCTCTTTCACCCAAAACTCTCCTTACCTTTGTTCTAGTTTCTCGGGATTGTTGTTGACTTCTTTTCCTTTCGAGGTGACATCACTTGGCTGTCAGCACCTGACTTTTACATTAGTTATCTCTAGCCCCCATCTTAAAGTTTCTTCTTGCTCTTAACCATGTATGTCCCTGCCTTAACTTTAGACTTCATTTTCAATAGCAGATTAATTCATTCTGCAAAACGTGTGTGTTTACTGACTCTTCTGGGATGCTATAAGGTGCACTCTGGAGATACCACATAAGCAAGATTAGCATCTTTTCTGCCCCCTTGAAACTGAAAGTTTAAAAGACAAGACAGATGATGAAACAATCCATTCCCTATAGTGTATTAAGCAATCTTATGGGAAGGGTAACATACCGGCTCCTGACATGTTGTATTGGAGTCCAAGAAGACATTCTGATGCAGGGGGCAGTAATATAAAATGGGATCAAAGATGAAAGTAAAGACAGCAAAAAAAAAAAAAAGCACATGCTTAGAGGTAAAGGCAGTCAAGTGCCTTAAAGGGAGAGAAGGAAAGTATATGCAGCTGGGCAATCCATTCAGCTAGAGCCTTCACTGAGAAAGAAGCTGGAGGAGTGGACAAGTAGCCCATGTGTAAGAGCCTTGAAATCTGGGCTAAGAAATTGAGAACCTATATCTAATATAATGATGGCTCAGTAAAGGAATTTAAGAGCCAGGAAAGATGGTGAGAAAAATCATTACAAAAATTTATACTCAGGACGTAACAGAAACATACTTGTCCTTTTTCTTGCCCTGAGTTTGACAAGATTGAAGTGAATCTGTATAAAGGGGTATAGATTCAGTTGTTCTACTGTGGAGGCTGCCACATTTGGCTACCTCTTTGGGTACCATTAAGAGATAATGAATATGTGCCTGGCAGAGCTATTCCATCACCATTTTGGTGATAAAAGTTAGAAGGACAGATGAGTAGCATCTCTGAAATATAATAATCATAATGTTCAAGTGAGGCTATCCATTCCTACATAAGCAAACAAGCAAGCAACGACTCTGACCATAACTGAAAAACAAACATTTCATATATCATTTCAAAGACCATTGAGGGTAAGTAAAAATCTAAAATATGGCATCCATCATCTGTCTAGACAATTGTTTGCTTTGACAGCTTACAAAGGAATCAAGGACATATTACTGGTAACATGTGGCTATAGGGGTAGATTTTGTACTCTGTGCCCTAACAGGTGACTTTTAGATTGAGACTATCAACTAATTTCTAATTTGTAAAAAATACATTCTTTTAACATCATGGAAGATATTTCCTAACTGGTTAACATTTTAAGTACTGTGGAAAAGATTATTAAAACCATCATGGGTTAGCTCCAGAGATTTCCAAATAAGTATTTTCAGATCTTATGATTCCAGGGGTATGCTTTCTTACCAAATGATTACCACCTGCCTTAATGAGAGCAAGTCCATCATCTCAGCAATGTGTTGAGATTTACTAATAGATTTGATTACATCAGCAGTTTCCCGATTAGAGAGGAATACTAAGAATTGAACTGATGAGAAAGTAAGTGAAAGTAGTTACTTGTTTGATGTTTACCAAGTACTTTCTAATCTCCAAAGCACTATCTCGTAACTGACCACTATAAGGCCAACATGAATAAATTCTAGGGTTGCATTCAAGCTCATGATTCTAATAAATGTCTTAAAAGCTAAATCAATACAATTTAAAGGCCGACCCACTTCTCTTATGAAGTATGCTCTCCTGGGAGAAAACCTAGTCATGTATTTAACTTATGAAGCACTCTTCTGAATTAAGCTGTATTTGTTTCATTGGACCTACATTTACTTCATGTTATCATCTTCTCATTTCAAACTAGTAATAAGAAATGCAGTTATGCTATTAGTCAGTTTTCTCATATCAATTGAAATTGTCAACGTTTCCAAAGACTGCTCACATATTCATCCATGCAATATTAAACTCCAGTCTTTGTTCCCTTTCATGTGTACATGTTAAAATTAGTGTATTTTTAACTAAGTATTTACTCAATCACTTATTGCCTCACAGTTTACTTGAATGAAACTGAAAAACAAACATAATTCTTCATGTAACATTGTCTTTTATTTTTATAGATGCCCACAATCAACAGAAAGAGGCTTATAGGCAAAAGAAATAACCAAATGGTAGCAGTAACTGTCACGTCAAGTCAGAGTGGGGAGCTGGCAAAAGCCACTCAGGTAACAAACTGCAGAAGCCACTGTTAATCATTGCCAAATATGTTTTTCTTTTTGTATAGAATCGCAAAAGAAGATATAATTTGTTTGAATTTTTTTTGCTCTTTGAAGGACATCAGATGCTATAAGAAGTCATTTGATGTTCCTTGATTAGAATAATTAGGACACTAAGTTACACTGAAGTAGCCCATAAGTCAATAGATGAGTGTGTTTCATGGTGGTGGCAAGTGTGAACAGAACTTATCATGAATGACAGCCACCATGACCAGGTTAGAAATTTTCTGAATACCTACAGAGCTCATGCTACGTATTCAAGGTGCTTCCTTTTGGCTTGTATATTTCCCAGATTAAGAATGGTAAAAATTTCAAATCTAAGCTCAAAAATTGTGAGATTATCTATGATATCAGATAACTTGGTTTTACATTCAGTATATTCAGTGCATCATATGACACTGAGCATTCTACACAACCCTAGAAAAGTATTTTTCTAACTCTATATGAATATTCTTTGTTTCTGTAATTTTCATACAACTATATAATAAGACATTATTTGCCCCATCCAATTCATTCTAACCCTCTCTAATATAACCTTTTATTATTTAATGGATTATTTAAAATAACCCACTAAATTCAACTAATACTGCTCATGTGTGTTTGTTGTAGATGTTAACAACTAGAGCATGGCAATTTTATCAATGTCTATACACTTAAAAAAAGAATGAAAATTACACCTCTATTCATCAACTATCAATTTTCATTAGTTCTTCAATTAAAAAGACACCTAGAGAACTCTCCAAACCAGAATTTTGCCAGAATTTTGGCCACATCAATCTTGTTCAGATATCACACTAGTATTACAGCTCATGTTAGTTCTTGAATATAAAAGTCATGAAGTCCTGAAAGTTCACATTGTACAGCATTTATTCTCATCCTGCACTCTTACATTTTTTTCTTTCATCCTCCTCTTCCTCCTCCTCCTCATCTGTGATAAGCCTGAGTTTTGTTGAGGGCAGTAACATAAATTTAGGACTAAGTAACCAAGCTATAATTTTCATCACTTTGCATAGTTACGCATCTTACCATTACTTGCTACCCACTGAAAGGGAGAAGTGTTTTCTAACCAAGTTTGAATGCACTCATATATATAGCTATAAACATAAATATTTAGAAGGTAATTTGACTATCTAGAAAAATAGCAGACTTTACTCTAGGGACTATGTTTTCTCCACCATTGCCTTTTTCCAGTGTAACTTTACTTAGTAATCCAGTAACCTGGTGTCAATACTGTATTTGCAGTCTGTGTTTCCTCATTCTTTTCATTTAGACATACCAGAAAGGTTGGTTTACATTAATATGATAGGTTTCTATAATAATATACCACACCTTAGATGTGTAAGACAATGAAAGTGAATTTTATCACCATTTTAAGTCTTCAGGTGCAAGATGGTATATGCTAAAATGACTGTACTTAGAGGAAAGGTTGTCTTCGCCTAACTTGGTTATTTTTCTATTTGTATTATAAAAGATGAGGGTGCATTTGAAGTTTATGGTTTCAGAGTGTCAGGCTCCATAGTGGTCAAACAGACGCATGGCTCAGGAGAAGTTTAGAGTTCATACCTCAAGTACAAATTGAAAGCAGAAAGAGCAGCATAAAATGCTGTGTGTGTTTTCAAACAGCAAAGCCCTCCTCAATGACATACTTCTTCAGTAAGGCTGAAACGACCAACTAGAGGTCAAATATTCATGGAGGACATCTCAGTAAAACTACAACAATGGTCTTCTTCCAAGGTCTACCTTTTGACTGGACTCATATCTATAACCAGTTATTCTTCTAAAGATCCCTGGCATGTAGGATGAGTACACATTTTGATGATTTGATTATCCTATAAAGGCTGTATCTGTCTCTAAATAAAGTCACATTCTGAAGTAATGAATGCTAGGATTTGGACATGCAATTTTCTGGGAGAGTTGTGATTCAGCTTGCAGGATAAGAACACTGTACATGGCGGTGGTGGCGCATGCCTTTAATCCCAGCACTCGGGAGGCAGGCAGATCTCTGTGAGTTCGAGGCCGGGCTGGACCGATAGCTTCTGAAACAATACAGACAAACCCTGTCTCGTAAAAACCAAAAAAAAAAAACCCAAAAAAAAAAGAACACTGTCCATGATGAGAAATGTATACTTAATGCAAAGGCCCCATCATTTAGAAACTGTGTCTTTTCAGACCACAGATATAGGAAAAATGATAATGCCAAGCCTCATCAAAGAAGTAATGATCTTGCGTAAAAGTGATTTAAAAATTATTGATTAAGAATTGAATCTATACTATAGAAGTAAATAAACCTGTAGTCATTTCTATAAGGGATTTTATGCACAGTATGTTTAAGCACATATAGAAAAGATATTAAGTTGTTGATGATTTAGTGTGCAGAAAAGGAGTAAAACTGCTTTATAATCATTTAAGTTGAAGTGTTTGCATTTGGTGAAAGATGCTACTTGAATTATTTTTTAATTTTAATTTTAAAATAGCTTGTTTTACATGTCAGCCCCAGTTCCCTCTCCCTCCCTTCATCCTGCAACCCCCCCAACATCGCCCTATCCTCCCACCCTATTGCCAATTCCTTCCTCATAGGGGATATCTAGAGTCTATCGTTTCACTCAGGGTAGGGTCCAGGCACTTCCCTATGAGTCCAGGCAGAGAGAGTAAACCTCTTTGTGTTATAGACACACGATGTCTGTTAGTATTCGAGGGATAAACACTGATCCACTGCTCAGGACCCCATAAGTAGCCCAGGACTCCTCACTGACTCTCACATTCGGGGGTCTGGATCGGTCCCATGCTGGCCTCCCAGATGTCGGTCTGGGGTCCAAGAGCTCTCCCCTGTTCAGATCAGCTGTCTCTGCTGGTTTTGCCAGCCCATTCTTTGCCAATTTGCTCATCACTCCTCTCTCTCTGTCACTGGGTTCCTTGGGTTCTGTTCAGTATTTAACTGTGGGTGTTTGCCTCTGCTTCCATCAGTCAATGGATGAAGGCTCCAGGATGGTTATAGACATCAAGTTAATTATCAGGAATGGTCACTCGACGTGGTCTCTACACTATTGCTTAGCTTGCCAATTGGTGTCATCGCTTTAGATCACTAAAGGTCACAATGGTGCCTGATCTCTCTTCTAACCTATGATTCCCTCTTCCCCCTATCCTACGGCCCCAGTCAACCTTCCTGTTCCTTCACGACCTACTCTCCCTTCCACTTCTCCCCCTCTCTATTTCCCAGGTACCCCGCCCCCCCACCCCTCACCATGTTCCCCATCTGTTCAGAGGATCTTGCCTCATTTCTCTTCTCCTGGGTAACATGCATATATTTTAGGTTCTTTCCTGTTTCCCAGACTCTCTGCTACTTGAATTATTAAGTATATTATAGGCACATGTCATAAAAAACATTATGCACTATGCTACATGCAGAAGTGGTAATAAAATTTTGATTCTAAAATCTTGATCCTAAAATTTTGAATTAAAAGAGGAGTTGAGATAAAGGCTGTCAAAGTAGTGTAATGATAAAAGGCATAAACACTCAATACAGCATTACCTTCATAATCTTGCATAATTTTATAATAACTATCCATGTTTATGTTGTGTCCCTTGGCATTTGGGAGGAAGATGCAATAGAACTCATCCATCTTCAATCTTGTCTTTCATAACATTGTCCTATCTGACTGCTTTAATTCAAGCTACAGTCATAACTGTATAGGCTCCAACCTAAATGTAATGGGTTAAGGTTGGGTGCTAGGCTTCCATCTTTCTCATCTACATGTAATTGTTGACAGTGATTGCCATTTATGCTTGTAGATGGTGAAAGAGTTGAGATAAGGGTGATTCAACAGGATTTGCCTTACAGAGACCACAAATTGAAGTCACTACTATGACAGAAAAGACATTTCAGTTAGTAGATGGGGCCATGTCCATATGTTGGAGGTCAGAGAGTCAGTGAGACAGAATAATGAACAGGAGTAAGAGCTGTGTTCCTGGATGAAAAGAGTTCACTTGATGTTTATTTAGAGTCTGTATTTTTCTAAAGAAATGTGATATCATCCATCATACTTAATCAAAAAAAATACAAGTCATTTGGCACAACAATTTGGCAGAGATGTTAACATATTAAACTTGAAGAATTTTAGGATTCTCTCTTTGCTATTTTTTTTACCACATCCTTAAGTAGTCTGTTTACATACAGAGTTCAACTTTGTTGATCTTGGTTGGGAAGGTCTGTGTTATTTAATTTAATCTCTTAATTTTCTTTTCCTCTGCTGATAGACTGTGTAGTAGCTGTATTTACCTAGCATGGAGTTTGGAAAGACTTGAAGATACACTAGCGTAGAGCACTCTGAGAGTTTCCTTGCTATTAAATTTTTTTTATTTCATGATAAATTTGTCTTTCAAATTGGTCAAGATTGCTCACAGTTTAAAAATGTCTTCTCAAATCTAAAGCAAGTTTTTACATTCTTGCTTTTGTAAATTCCTTATTTAAAAATTGAGGAAGCATGATTAAAAATGGGATAAATTGATGCTAGCTGAGAAAGGATTCCCTGCAGTGGGAAGAAGAAATTTATGATCTGCCATATGGTGAACACTCTAGTCACTGCTGCTGATGGGAGACACTTGTTGGGTGTTATTCACAATTAACTGCACTCAACAGTTCAATAATAATTTAGGTAGAAACAGAAATACAAAAATAAATGGAAATACACACAAATTAAAATCTAGTTTATCCGTTCTTTTTTCTATCCACACATAGTCAGAAACTAGGTTTCATTTCAGAGAGTTGTGCTTTTTTCATTTTTTTAAAAATTTGTCTCTTCCTCCCCTTTTTAGTTCTGCTCCTCCATCCTTACCTTTTAATACATGTATTTTACTCTTCCCATTACTCTCCATTTTTTATCAGTCTCTGCTTCTTCCCCCACTACCCAGCCTCTTCATTCATCTAACAGGCCAGAGAGCTGTGTCTGACT